GGATTTTGAACTCAAGTCCTCCTGACTTCAGGGCCGGTGCTCTATCCATGCTCTACCTAGCTGCCCCTATCCATAGGCATCTTTAAGCAGCTTGGAAGAAGCTAGTGCTAGAGTACCCACCTTACATAAGAAGTATCATAAATCTAAAGTAGGAAGAAACCTCGGAGGTCATCTAATCCAACTTCATTTTACAAATAATGAAATTCACATCTACTTAAATTACTCACTAGGGTCCTAAGTGACTTGTCCTAGGTAAAGGTCGGAGGATTGGAATCGAGGTCCTCTGACTCTAGAGCCAGCGCTCACTCTTCTGTTGTGAGGGAAATGATGATAGGATCTGGAGGATTTCCTTTCTTCTTCAGTGTTTATATGCCTCGGGTTTGAAAACTTAGTTATGTAACTAATGTATATCCAGGGATAGTACTGCTAGTGTCTTTTCTTTTAGAGCCCCAATTGGACACCACAATGTGGACCAAGTTTCTTTGAAAGAATACTGTGGAAGTACTTGTAACTAACCACAAGCCCTTCAGTTCAGAAATCTAAAAATATGGAATTTTTACAAAAAGATCTTTTGATTGGTTAGAGTAGATTTAGAACATGTTGGGCCTGTTCAAACTATAAAGTTTCATGAGAGTGTTAAAAAGTGATTTAAGCATTAGTACTTCTGTGTAGTATCATTTCTAAGTCTAGGCAGATGGGAGAATTGTGATCTTCTCCTGCTGATTCTGATTTTAAATCTCGTGATTTTTACATTTTCATTGTAATACAGATAAAACTTAGTAAATCCTTAGCTTTTATGGCCCTGTCCAGCTGAGTTCTTGATTGGTGTAAAATAAAGTATTTGTTTCCTTAATGTAGTTGGGAAATTCATCACCACGAATGCTATTTTCCTTGTGAAGTAAAGAACACAAAAAATCCAGTGGCAGGAGCTGGAGGTGGAGCTGGAATGCACCTTTTGAAAATGAATACATAAAGCAAAGAAACAATACTTACTCTTAAGGGTAGGATTTCCTTATCCTCCAGGAAATAGAAGTTGAAGATTTGCCTTTAGTGATTGAATGAACTGAGTCTGATGACAGCGTTTTCCTTGAGCAGCTCTTCAAAGATTTTCGGTAAGATTAGAAATCAGCCCTAAGTTTTGGATTTTATGACTGAAGGTTTGGCATGTAAAGTATGTAGCAGGTTTGGACAATCTGAACACATTTTGGCTAATTTTCCTTGGTACTCCTAATAAACTGTTTGCTCGATTAAAAACATTTTTCTTGCATGCCATGCAAATTACTTGCCTCTGACAAAATACTCTTTCTTGTTTGCCCCCATTCAAACCCCTTTCACCCTATTCTCTCTTTTGCTATCTTTCTCACTAGATTCTTAGTTGAAGAAACCTAATTTCCCTCTTTGTATTTTATAAATTAAAGTTTTAGGTTTATTTTGTAGCTATTGCATGTCAGGTATTAAATTTGGCCACATGCTACCCCTAGTGTTAAGTATTGGGTTAAATAGAAAGAGCTCTGGAAGGGGCTTTAGAGATTATTTAAATCTATTATCTACATTCTGTTAAATTCTATTAAATTTAAAATGGATAAAAGAAAGTTTACATTAAGTAACTTTTTCAAAATCATAGAGGAAATTAGTAATTTAGTACTAGAAGACAAGTCGTCTGCATCCCAGACTGAAGTTAGTAATTCATGATGCATTACCACTACCTTATAGTATTTAAGGCAGAGTTTATATTTGTAAAAGGATTTTTTATGAAGCAATCACATTTGTATGTAGAAAAAAGATGGTGGTGGGACATATTCACAGCTTTTTTGTAATGAGTACTTAAGAGAGAAAAATGGCCTTGGCATAAAGAAGGGAAATGTTATAGTGTTATAACTCCTTAAGCAATGTAGTGAGAGAAGGGAATGACTGCAGGGGAGCAGAAGTCTGTGACTTCTTAAGTTATATGGCGCTTACAACTCAGATAACTCATTTCCAGCAAATGCAGATTGCCTCTATTACCAAAAAAAAAAGTCCATTTCAATAACCATCCAGACCTGTGTATGGGAATGATAATGGAGGTAAGACAGCTCCATGATGTACCCACATGACCACGGAGAGACCTGTGTGGCATGGGGAGTACTTGGCTGGAGTCTCGTACGTCTGCCTTGTAATCCTTATACAGTTCCTGCTTGTAATACTTAGTGCTTTGTGACTAATGGCAGCTCACTTGGTGTTCTCCTATGTAAAATAGGGATAATACCTGACTGGGTTGTTGTGAGGAACCAATAAGATTATCTATCTGAAGCGCTCAGCTATTCTTATAATACATAATACCAACATATTTATACTGCTACATTAAAAAGAGATAGTTGTATGACAGTCTGACATACATCAGTCAGTAAAGGAATTATGATTGAGATCCTGGGTAGTTGTGCATTTGTTTACTTTTTGTCCCCTGTTATCAGACTGAATCTGGAACATCATCTGTCTTGGCTGTCTTGGCTGCATCTTCCTTTATTTGAGTAGAAGAAACCCAGCCTTTTTTGGAATTATATTATGTGTGCTTTGAAATGATTAACCAGATTGTAACTGCTGTTATTTTTTATGTACATCTATAATAGAATAAAGGTGCTTATGATATATTTTAACTGCTAATGAAGATGGTACTTTTGGTATGTTAGGGTGAGAACAGGATCATTCTGTATTGAGGCAACACATACAACTGGGGATGATTGTGAGTAATTCACTTGTTCAAGGTTTGCAAATAGTTGAAAGTTTTGGTATAGTGGGCTTTCTAAGAAGACAGTGTTTGCATCTAAGACAGGTTGTGTTTAAGATATTTAGTATATAATTTTAGTAGTGAGTTCTCAGTGTTGTTTGATTGAATTTAGTGTTATTACAGCTAATACCTCAATAGTTTCAAATGTGTTATCTTTTCATATATAAATACATTTCTAAAAAATTACTTTGCATGCTTTATATGAAGATTTATATACACTTTGTTTTCACAACTTTTTAGTGTTTTTTAACAGTCCAGTTCAGTCTTGCTTTAAATCTTATGTTGGTGGCAGTACATAATCTGGGAATTATTTTCCCTAATTTTGTAGGAAATTTTGAAAAATGTTTTAATACTTTGTTTTTGATAACTTACTTGGGAGATTTTAAAACGCCATATAACTGATCTCTGGGGTTTGGAAATTATACCTGAGAAAACGGTTGAATTAAATTAGTTTTAAGTCCCTTAGTTCAGCATTTCTCATTCAAAGCATCAACAGTGCATGATGTATTGTGAAAATCTGATTGATGTAACTTTCTTGCAGTTCCAGCTACTTCTCAGAGAAGAGCTACCTTTTCCATGGTTTCATCACCATGTGTGGGAGCGTACTGCTGTTGTCATGAACAGGCGTACAAGGTGTGCTTTGTCAAATTTAGAATTGTAGGAGTTATGCTGTGGAAGTACTAACCCAGTGAGTTGATTGGGACAAAAAAGGGAGAACAGAGTCTGACTTCCATCAATAACTTTGTTTATCATTCTACTGACCTCCTGACAGAGGTGATGGATTCAGATGCAGGCTCTGACATATTTTTTGGATATGGTCAGTGCATGATTTATTTTGCTTGACTATGCATATTAGTTATAAGAATTTTGCTTTTTTTTCTCTCAAGGACAGGGGAGGGAGAACAAAATACTCTTTTGAAAAAATTTATTTAAAAAAGAAAAGTATGACCATAAATTACGAATCATTAAAGGATACTCAGTTTCTTTGACAATATCTTTGTTAACTAAAATGTTCCACTATAAACTTAAAAATGTTTAAATTTTAATGTTTTTTAAAAAAACATTTTGTTTATGTTGGATGTGACCATACCATTATAAGGGTGACCCTATCTTCATTTTACAAATGAAAAAGTTGAGCTATTGTGAGGTTATCAAAAGCCTAAATGTGTAAGCCAGTATGTTTGCTCTTGGAAGTATATTTCCTTAAGGGTGTTTGTTGCTCATTGCTTCTCAAACTTTGAAGTATTTTGAATGTTGGTTGTTGTTGTTGTTTGGCCTTCTTACTGGAAGAGGACCGTGACATTAGGGAAGTGATGCCGTGACATGCAAGTGAAGTGGATTTAAGTGAAGGAGGATTGTGCAAAGTCACCAGCCTCACTTTTTCCTATTGAAGTGGCCAGAGAACCAAGGGAGCTATATTCCCCTTTAGAGACAGATAGCCTGCATTATGTTAGCGGTTTTATCACAGTGCATTAAGTTTTCCTTGGGGAGGGGTAGGATGTTGAAAATCAAAGAATCTGATAGAAGGGACCTAAGTGGTCATATCTAGACAGACCATGGATGGATGAAGTATTGAGAAACTTTTTCTCAGATCTCCTCTGGGAGTACCAGAATTGCATCAGCCTCAATGAGTGTTTCATCAGTTTAAAGAACTTGCTTCTTCCACCACATAGTACAGCATCCCATCTTTATCTTATTAAATAAATTATAGAGTTGGCTGAGGCTTGTACAGGTTAAAGTAATTTGCCCAGGAACACTCAGCTTATGTCTGTGGTGGGATTTGAACCTAAGTCATTTCTATTCAGAAGACAAGCAACTGTGGTGTAATGTTAAAGTGCTGGCTTCAGAACCAGAAAGACTTGGGTCCAAGTCCAGTCTCTGACACTTAACCTTTCAGTTGGCCTTGAGGTGGCTTGTTTGACACCTGCTTTAGGTAGGTAAAAAAGGTGCAGGTATGATAATGGATATAGCCAGGAGCTCCAGCGTGTGATGGTGAGTCATCCGTCCCGAAACTTTAATCAAAGAATACAACTCTTCTTCTTGAGACCTTTCAGCCATCAAACAGTAGTTAGCACATCCTTTTCCACCCCTTTCCCTATATCTTGCAAAGCAAAAAAATTTTTATAAATGGAAGAATGGCCTTAATTGTTCGTATATGTTAATATGACATTTTACACATCCCTGTTTGTATGAAAATCTGTGAAAATGCTTACAACTGTTTTTCTTTCTGTTACAGATACTACAGTTGAGGATCCTGAACTAAAAGATTCCACTCTCCTTCCAAAAAGTATCATGGCTGAACCTGACTACATAGAGGATGACAATCCTGAATTAATCAAGCCTCAGAAATTAATCAATCCTGTCAAAATTTCCCGGAACCATCAAGATCTTCACAGAGAACTTCTGATGAATCAGAAAAGGTGAGTTGATCTCTGAACCTATGGGGGGGGGGGGGGGGGGGGGGG